ACCCTCAATTTTCAGGGTGTAACATTTATATTCCACAAATCTAATAAAATTAATTTTATGAGGACTTTACAAAACAGGTAATGAATATGGACACAAAGTCCATGGGGTAAACCACCAAATGCAATCAAAACTATAAAACAAATGTAGACATATAGTCTACAATGGTAACTAACCAGACGTGGTTGAAACCATGAAATAGATGCAAGTACAAGACCCATAAATAACAAATGTGAAAAAAAAGCTTATGAAAAAAAAATCAAACTAACTAGTCATTAACTATAGTGCATTATAAGCTAATGAAACTGCCGTTAGCAACTTAAGTTCTGCATGTAGTCCTCTTTGAAATATCAATATTTAAACATGCATGGATGTTTTATAACCACATTTCATAAATTTTATTATAGATTCCATGCATGACTTATTAGATAAAATTCATTTAAACTCATATAAATTATTAATCGATCCAACATAACACAATGGAGCAAACCAATATAAAATAATTTATTTTATTAAAATCCAAATAAAGGAACATCCAATGAGAAATATAATTTACCAACAATATATATTATAATAAATTGGAAATAATAATTTCTTTAAAATAAATTTATATTGGTAATTTAATTTGGCATCATCCACTTACCTATAAAATTTCCAAGTGTGTAAAATACTTCCAAAATGGTCTCCTAGTGACAATGTTTTGTCCTTAAATTCCTCTATACAGCAACGGTATTAAGGAGAGGGAGACTAGACACAACCCAAACCATAACAAGAATAGAAGAAGGAAAAGAAGATCATGAGCTGTACAGGGGAGAGAGAATCTGATATGTACATGCTGCCAAACTGTTGGAGGAGGAAGATTCTGATGCTTCCATGTTCACCAACGGTGGAGCGCCAAGGATGAAGGTGAATGGAGAGGAAAGCTTGAACCCTTGCAAGCTCCCATGAATAGAGGAATGGAGATCTCGTTGGTTTTTAAGCATAAAAGAAAGAAGTTGTAATTTTAGCAGAACAAGAATGGTATAGGTGCACTGTGGCAATAGTGACAAGCATGAATGGTGGAGAGATCATAGATTAGAGCACAGTGGGTGAAGTTTTTGGACAGTTCTCTTACTGTTTGAACTTATGCATGAAAATGTGAAAATATGAGGAAGAAGGAAGAGAAAAATCCAACCAAGTTAAGGACAAATGGATAATTTCACATAAAGATTGAAAAGTGAGAAAGAAAAAAAGTCGTCACGCCCCTAAAATAAAGTGACCAGCACGGGAATGAATCGTATCACGCATCCCTTAAACATCAAATTGAGAAATTTTTTGTTTAATTTCTAAAACATAATTAGATTTATATTGAAATTATGACATTCTTAATAGTATTTCTTATAATGAAAGTTTCAATATTTTTGTAAAAATTTTGTCAAAACCTCCCCTATAGATAGGATCTCTCTAAATCTCCACAACAAAAATATTATTATATGCATTCAATAGTCTAAAACTACTTTCCCCAATAGTAGATAGTCAACAAAAAAATAAAATTAGAATCCTGTTTATAATTAACGTGGAGCACCTAAAACATAAACTCAAAATAAAACACACCATTTAATTTTTACATCAAAAGAAAAGGTGTTCCCAAAAGATAAATATTCACCGAGCATAGTTGTGAGCCCCTTAATGATCAGCAAGAGGTCCAGCATTAGCTAATGAGTTTGAGACCAAAATATTTTTCAGTGAATAGCATCCCTAAAAATAGAATTTAAAAATGTAAAATAATAAATTCAAACAATTATGTAAAATAATTAAAAAGATGATAATTTAATATAATAAATTGAATAAATCTGTAAATTTTAGTCATAACCATAAAACGAAAGTAAACTGAAATTGCTTTATTCTATCATCCTTGAAGAAAATAAATTATCCATATGTAAATCAATGTAGTACATTTACTAATTGAAGCCCATTGAAATTTCAAATACACAAATAAATTAAAAAATTTAAAATTTTGAGGAATTAATAGAATAAATAACAAAGGTGGACACACAGTCCACGAGGGTAAAATAACCAAATATGGCTTATGCCATGAAAAAAATTGTGGACACACATTTCAGAAGGGTAACTAACTAAATGTGGTCGGAGCCACGAAACAAACATGGATAGATAATCTAAAGGGTAACTAACCAAATGTAGTTGAAGCCATGAAATAGATGTAGGTGTAAGACTCATGAATAACAGATGTAAGAACATAGCTCACAAAAATCAAACTAGCTAGTCATCAACCATAGCGTGCTATGCGCTAACGGATCTGTCGTTAGCAGCAGTGTTCTACTTATAGTCCTATTATAATCATGTCACAAAGATGTGAGAAAAAATAATCATTACTAAAATAAAATTTTTACTTTCAATGCCAAACTCGCATGGATTATTGTAAGTATCAATTTAATGCTTGTCAAAATAAAATTTCATAAATAATGGTCATTATTGTATTTATTGAACAATCAAAATTTTCCAAAGCTAATCAAAATAACTTCATAAATTTTGAAGATAAGAATCTAAAAAAAAAAAAATTTACATGTACCTGCCACATCACATTTATTTCATTGCAATAATCTTATATTTCACATGATAAAATAATTTAATCAATAATATAACCAAATTGTCATAATAATAAAAAATGACCTTCATAAAGACAATGATGAATTCTTTTGGTAAAAACTATTATTAGTAAAATAATTGAGATGCCATTCACTTACCTGTAGAGTCTTCAAATGCATAACTTACTTCCAACTAATCTTCTAATGATGATGTTTGGCCTTTAAATTCCCATTACCCAAGTAACACTACTGTTATACATTTATAAACTTTATTATTCAAGATTTCAATCCAAAATTCCAAAGAGATATCACAAATAAACCTCAACCTCTTTTCTCAAACATTGTATCAACATTTTGCAAGCATGAATTATTTAACTAATAAGCCTAGGTTCTTTTATCCAAATCTTATTCCAATCATTTTGCATAAATATATTTTTTTTCAACAAACATTTAAATTAATCAGACTTCTTCTTCAACATAAATGAACTTTAATACTAAATGAAAATCATCTCCCAACTTCATATTACTCACAGTAGATAAAAGGAAGAGAGAGAAAAAAGTCCATCATCTTAAACCAACAATTTCTCAACAACCATATATCTCCATAGAATATTTTCATAGTGAAATTCCTTTGCCACCTTCAACTTAAACTCAGCTGAATAGCATTTGAATCAATCATTCTTCTCAATATAATTAATAAAATTTCAACAAGAAATGTATAATCAAACAAAACTCTCCTAATGGGCATTTTATCAAACACCTTGCATACATGAATTTTCAAGTTTTAATACTCAATTCTTCTCTTCAAATCTCATCCCAAATTTCTTCCAGTAATTCTACAACACCAATATTCCAATAAATCCATCTCATCCACACGGTCACATAGCCATAGAAATAGAGAAAAGTGATCAATCAATATATATATATATATAACAATTTGTTCTCATCCACGCACATATATTCAGCAAAGAGAGACACACTTGGCAAATTTAATCATTTATTTAAACACTCACGCATAGAATCATCAAGAAGGATAGCTTAAGGCTTCTCACCTTAATCCTCAATATTCACAGAGACAGGGAAAGAGAGGGGACCTATAGCAGAACAGGGAAGAAATTCTAGCATGACACATGAAGCAAATTATGATTTGTATTTTATTAACTTTTGGAGTAGAAACTACAAGAAGAAAGGGTGGCTTAGTAATATCTATTGTGAGTGTTTAAATATTTAGGAATTTCAGTAGAATTATAAATTTTGATATGAATTTCTAAACGTATGATTACTAACCTATGGAACCAATATTCAAAGAGAAATTGGCTGCTCCATGGAAACAATGTTGGCGATCATCCTCAACATGTGGGTTCGACACTTCTCACTGCCAATGGATGTTTTTTTCTTCTTCTTCATCTCAATGAAATTACCAAAATAGCCTAAAAATAAAATAAATAAATAAATCTGAAGGTCAAAAGAACACAGATATATATATAAAGCTACTTCTCTCCTTCTCCTTTTCACTTCTATCAGATTTCTCTAGAATCAGTGACAGAGCCCAATCTTCGTTCAACCTTCTTCCATCTCCTCTTCATTCTTCTGTCGCTGGCAACCATGGACATGCTGTTTGCCACTGTGGTGGTTCCATGAGGTCACGATTTTATCCTTCATTCTCTGCCTTGCATTGTCCTATTCATTCTCTGATTTATCTTCTCCATTTCTGTTTGCGTCACTGGCGTTATGCTGGGAGTTAGGTTGCCGGAACTAGGTCTCTCTCTCATGATCTTCTTCTTGGATCAGTGCCGCAATCTTCTTCTCCCTTAGTTCTGCGTCGCTGCTGATCCAATGTGGTGCTCGGTTCGAATCTTTCCCTCCCTCGTCACTTTGTGTGTGTATTTTTATGTGGCTGGGACTGTAATTTTCCCTCATTATTTGTTCTCCTCCTGTGTATACCTGAGTTAGGAGGGGTTTTAAATCAAATGAAGATAGTTTGGTCTGATTTTTTCTTTCTTGAATTTAAGTTAATTCTTATTGCAGAATTTGATTGGCAAAATATGATAAATCCAAAAGTTAAATGGGATGATGTTTAAAAAGAAGAGTTTAGAATTAGAAGCTGTCAAGGAATTAGGAGTTACATTGAAAAACTTTTGTGTGTGAGAATGATTGAAGGTTATTTGGATTGTAACTTGAGAATTACAGAAATTAGTTCGTAAGTTATAATTGAAAAACTTTGGATTGAAAAACTTTCATTTCCCCTTTCTCATGTTTTCCCTACTTTGTCTCAATGTTTGTTTCACTTTATACCACGCCAATGTTACTATGAATTATGAATTGGCACTACTTGCTTTCAAGTTTTCTATCAAGGACCCTCACAGTCAATTGGCTAATTGGTCCAACTCTTCTTCCATTTGAAACTGGGTTGGGGTTATGTGTGATGCTCAACATGAGGGAGTAACAGCCTTGAATCTTGGGGAGATGGGTCTCAAGGGAACTTTGCCCTCAAAAATTGGGAATTTGTCTTTTTTGGTTGAACTTGACCTTCATAGTAATAACCTTTATGGTGACTTGCCGAAAGGGTTGATCCAATTACAGAAGCTACAAATTCTCAACTTGAGCTACAATGAATTTAATGGAGAAATTCCAACTTGGATTGGAAGCTTATTTATGCTTCAACACTTCTATCTTCGTAATAATAGTTTTGGAGGTGTTATTCCTAAAAGCATATCCAATTTGTCAAAGTTAGAGATTTTGAACTGGGATGATAACTTTATTGAAGGATTCATTCCATTTGAAATTGGAAAACTTCAATGTTTGAAGTTTTTACGGATTGCGATAAACAAGCTTTCAGGAATAATACCTCCAATTATTTCTAACTTATCTTCACTTGAGTTTTTGTCTTTGTCTTTCAACTCCTTAACAGGTATGTCTTGCTAATTAATGTGTTGTTAGCATTTCTTCCATTTTACGATGATATAAATTTATTTTCTATTTGGAAATGATTTAGCTTAATTTTAACATATATTTCTGCATGCCTTAAGATAATATGCCTTATTATCAAGCTTAATTGATCTTCTTGGACGTAAATTTTTCATTTATGTTGGTCAGAATAAATTTCATAAAATCGGCTTTGCAGATGTATCCTTCCCCATTCAAGTTAACTTCACCTGAGCAAATTAATACATTTGAAAATTCTTTAATTGTTATTTTTAATTATATATTATTGATGATAATAAAATGTTCTTATTTGAGAAAGATAAATTGTCAAACGTTCTTTGAAATCCTCTTTTAACTGCTAGAAAATTTTTTTTTTACATTATATATTTTACATAATTCCTTCTCTAGTTATTTTATAAATTATTAATCATGTAACATAATATGTTTTTTTTTTGTAACATTAAAAGCTTGCGTCAGAAATTTGCATGTTGTTAGGACATGTCTCAAGCATTCTTTATCAAGATTCATCGATTTCCTTTTTTAATTTTTTCCCCTATTGGGTTCGAGAGCTTTATCATTTTTTTTTCTCTTGCTTTCTTTTCAATACAAGTTCAAGAGTTATAACTTGTTTAGAATAATTTCAAAAGAAGCCATTCAGAAACCGCAGGAAAATCACAACAAAACAGTGCACTTTTTTTTTTTTATCTAATCACTCATGCACCATGATAAATGAGTGCAATTTCAAAATTTGTATATTTTTGCTAATGAATTGTTTTGTCCAATCATATTTGGTTGATATTTAACATTGAAAAGAGTAGCGGTTACATATAAAAAATTTTTGTTTGGTTTAAGACATTTTATTATTTTCTGGTTTCTTTTAAATACAAATTCAATATTTATTATATCATAATCACATTAACTTCAAAAAATTATATTTATTACTTATTTTTCTTATACTATAATTGTCTTATATGAAAAAATTCATAGTAATGCTTTTTCTTTATTATCATATTGTTGGAGACATTCCCAAAGCAATTGGTGCTCTCACAAACCTTAAAATAATATATCGAGGTGTTAACAAGTAGTCTGGCCAAATATCAAGGAATATTGGAAACTTGACAAAACTTCAACATCTTCAACTTGGTGAAAATAACATAGAAGGTATACTTTCAATTAATCATAATGTAAAACTTTTCATCAATTTTGTGTTAATTTTTATTATCTAAGGGTGTAGATAAGATGAGTCATGAGAAGAAGAAAAGGAGAAAGAGATTATGAGGGAATCCAGACACCGTAATTATATAAAAAGTTAGTTTATGGCTTTTAAAATTTGGTTGATAATTCTATCATCATGTTTGTAGTCTTACCATTTTTTTCCCTTAAAAAGACTCTATTTCTGCCTCATAAATCTCAATGACATAATACATTTAGATTAAATATTTTAAATTATATCAAATCTTATAATTAAAATTTTGGTTAAATATTTTAAAGTATATCACATTTTCATATATCCAAACTATTTTACTCTTTTCGGTTATTTTCACTTAGTTAATTGCAAGAATTTCAAAAGATAAAATATTCAAAAAATCTATAATGTTAATACGTGAATAGAAAGTAAAATTGGATGGTCTAACTTCTTATCCACAGTCAATTCTGCTCGTTATTCCAAATACAGGAATTAGCAAATAGGAGAGAAGGGAGAATCCACTAAAGAATTAAAATAAAAAAGTTCTATAAATGTCAGGGAAATGAGGAAACATGTCTCAAGTGATTATGATAAGCACATGTATCAAGTGCAATTAAATTCTTATAAGTTTAATTAAAAGGAATAAGTGGGTATGAAAACAACTTTTGATTGGAGGTGGCCTAATATTGTTTGAGTTGAGAGAATCTACTTTTGAGTTTTATAACTATTGTTGTGTTTCGTGGGCTTTATATCTTATATGAACAAGAATTAACCTTTACCAAAAGAACAAGCTCAAGCTATGTCATATTATATCACATATATGCCAGTCACTGAAATAAATCAAACATATGATGCATATAAATTAATTAATTAAAATATTGATATTTTTAATAGTAATTTACTAATTTTATGATTTGAGAGGAATGCTATTGGATAATTGGTGGTGCATAATAATATAAAATTTAAAACAACAAATACATATAAATATAAAACATATTAACAACATATTAACTTTACAAAATTACGTACCTCAATAAAAACACTGTAAATAATATAAAAACAATTGACACTTTAATGATTTAGGAGTGACCATGATATAAATTCAACGAATTTAATACTTTATTCATATTTTTATATAATAGTATATAATATTATATACAATTTTCACCCATTTTTCATATAATAATTATTGTTATAATTGTAAATTTCTTTAAATATGTAAGTTTTTGTTCAATTTTTTTTATTTTATATATCTATATTTAGAAAATTTTCATATTATTTATGATTCTTTTTTAATGTAAAAAATATCCATTTATCTTTAATTTTATTAATATTACTGGACGACCATATAATTTTGAAATTATAAACCTTAATTTAAATTTTAACTATGTAGAAAATAGTTCATCAAACATTCTAAAATACTTTTTATTAATTAAGAAGGGCATAATAATTTTTTTTATTGGAAACTCGAAAAAACTTCATGTGCTTAGACCTTGGTAAAACTAACTTTTGACCTAAAATTGTTCAAACAATTACTGCTGAATACTTTACTCATAATTTTCATGTGTTGTTTAGGTTTTGATTAATTGTATCCTTATTTGGGACTTAGTTGTAATTCTTTCAATATCTTACTTTCTTAATATATGGTATTTTTGGTAATTGTTCAAAGATTTGTACAAGCTGTCATTTTAGATGCTTAACCTTCATCTCATTTGTTTACTTACTTGTAGGTTCAAAGTATTGTGTGTGAAATTTTAGTTTTAAATTTAAATGATTATCTAAAAGTAAACCATTAATTATTGTTCTTTTAAGTGACGATGGTAAGGACATGTCTAAAGTGTAAATTTTGTTTTCCCTTAATTAACGCATAAGAGGAACTAGCAGCTTTGGATCTTATAATTGTCTTTGTAGGTTTGTGGGCTGTATAGATTGATTAATGTGTCAGTATGTATTGGCATTTATATGAAACATAATCTTTGATGTAAAATACAAATGAGGAAAAGAGAATTTCATTCAAGTGCTATATCATCATCACACACACATATATATATATATATACATGGGCTGGCAACTAGAAACAAGGGTCCACAAGTTAGCTTTGGAAAAAATGATTCATCATATATGGATATTTGTAGGATTAAGCCATCATTCTTATGTCTTTTTCACATACGTCGGAAATATTTTCAATAGATATCTCCGTGACCAATTTGTAATTCTATATCTCTAAGTGTTATTTTTTTCTTTTTGTAGGTGATATACCACAAGGTATTGGAAAACTGGAAATGCTTCAAAAGCTAGATCTATTTCATAATAATTTACAAGGTAATTTTTTCATCAAATTATGATACTCTAGCTACTATAGTTTTTTTTTTAAACTATTTAGTTGTTTTCACTATGAACAACAATGCATTTTATTTTCCAACTTTGTTTTATAAATTTGTGTTTGAGTGAAATTTTCTTTTCTAACAATTCTTTAAACATAAAAAATTATGTCTTTAGTTTTAGTTGGCCATAAAAAATTTTCTTTTCCAATAATTTTAGAAATTCTGTTTAGGATGTCTTGTGGAGTATTTTGTCTGTTTGGAACAGATGAAGCTCCATTTGGAGCAAGCAAAATGGATTTGCATTTGTAGTCTAAATGTAGTTAATTAATATATTACAGTTAAAATGTATTTATAGAGTGACAATGTTAATATCCACATTGATATTAAAATATGAAGTTTCCATCTCATTTGTTCTCTTTAAATTTTAAAAGATTTTAAAAAATAAAAAAATATAGAACTTCAATCTCTATTGTTTTACCAAATTTAATTAAATGCTGTTATTGTATATTGGTGACTTGAAGTATTGTGTAAAACTTCATTTCTTTATAATCATTTTGTATGCGATTAATTCTTTAGTTCATAATTCAACCTATGTAAAATATCTTGACAAGGTTCAGCACATCTAATAATTCAAATTTTTCTTTTCACTTGGTTTATTATACATCATGCCAAAAATTTCTAATAACTCTGCAAATAAATTATTACATTTCGAAATCATGATATACTTAATATTTGTGATATTTACATATTTTTAAACAAAATATATGTTCTTTGGTTAATTCATTCCCACCCAAAACATCCCTCACTTTCCTTGTAGGATGCCTATAATGTGAATTGCATCTGCACGATTTATAATGCATCATCACTCTTAATGATGTGTTATTTATATTGTCATTACTGAAACAATTTGCAATCTTACAACTAAGAAAATAATGGCTTTATATGTTAATTAATATTTTCTAGCTTTTTAAATAAATTTATCAGCATCTTTATTAGAAACATTTGTTTTTCCTTTTTGTCCTTTTACATTTGGGTTTTTTAATCATATCCCAATCAATAATTCTAAGGAAATGGGTGGTCTTCTAAATTTAAAAATATGAATCCAGTCACATCAGTGTCCATGGTTTTCTGTCTTGCTTTCTACCTTTTGGAGTTTTAGTGCTCTTGAAAGCAATATGGAAGCCATTATTTACATTTATATCTTCACTCTCTTTGATCGTTACACTTTAGATCCGTCAACTACATATTCAGATTTGTGGTTCACATGCACAATAATTGTGTTGTGAAATTTGCAGCACTGTGTTGCCCATCAAATAGAGATGTGTTCCTCTGTTTACCTCTTTTTTTTTTTTTTTGGCTAGAAAACAGAGGTAACCATATAATATTATTCTTAATTACATGAAAGTTTTCCCTTCTGACTCCATTCATCCTCTTTTCTTTTGAGTCTCTCAATAGCTTTTTAATTTTCTTCTTTACTTTGCACTTATTTTGATGAAGGTCTTCATAGAGAGATTAGATCTATTGAACGAATAGATTATGGGTTGTTTTGTCTTTGTTCTTGTGAGAAACTCCCTTTTTGTTTTACACATCATCACTTCTTTTAATACAGCTAGGACTTCTCTTTCCCTCATTGCTTGTTAGAATGCTAAATTTTGGGGCAAAATCAAAGAAAAAGAATTGTGTGATGATGTTGAATATATAAATTTTTTTATAAAGTTTGTCTGACGTGAAATTTTTATTGATTTATAGAATCCTTTTCTTTGCTACAAACATTATTATAATTTTGACTTGGACTCCTTAAAATGAGTCCAAGCCTATGCCCTGCAAACAAGTTAGTTCTTCAAATTGTTCATTAAATTTATGATTCAAATGCTTTTTATTGTAAATATAATTTTAAATAGGTGAATCTGTTGAAAGTTATATTTTACATAAATATTATATAGACCCTTATTAGAATTTCATACTGGAGAGATAATTTCGACTCGTGTTTATATATATATATATATATATATATTAATGTTGAGTTGTTAGTGTTACCATCTTGAGAAATTCCATTAATCTAAAATCGAATTTGTTATTTCAACAAAAAAAAATTAATATGTGAATTTCAACGCTGATTTTGGTTGACAATGAAGGATTCCTGTACAACAAAAGCCAATAATCAAAATTTAAATATACGAGCGACATGTATTTTGACTATGAACTAAGTCTCTAACTGCCATTGTGCTGGTAAAATTCTTTCAGTCTTTTCATAATTTTTTTTCAGTTTAATATATATAGGCTCTAACTTTCATTTGCCACCACTATTGCATGGACCAAAAATTGTTATGTTATTTGAAACTTGGTGTCCAGGAGTGTTCACCTCAAAGTGGTTTTGAGGTTTGGTGTAAATCCTTCAAGTGACGGATTATCTTCTTGTATTTTTATCACAATCATCTTCATTTTTTTCTCTATGTTAATTCTCTTTTGTTTTTGGTAAAACTCTTTGTTAAATATTTATTCTCTCTATTCGACTCTTTACTAGTCTTGACAATTTGAAAAGCTATTTTATAATCATAATTATATGTTTATTTGATAAATATAAGCGGTTTGCCATTTTTAATTAATTTTTTTATTAATTTCTTTGTCCATTATAAGGGTTTGAACCCCTTACCTCTGTACTCATACTCCACCTATCCTTACCAGTTACCGTTTGAGATAACTTTAGGTTTTTCATCTATACATATTAGTTTTAAAACCTTTATAAATTAAAAGTTTTCTGAAATAAATTTGTATTTCATACAGAAATTTAAACTAGATGTTGGCTTGTTTGTTGCATTAAATTTAAGAGTAGTCACACTGTCCAAAGCTAAATAATATGGCTTTCCAAAATAATTTATCTTCACAAAAAATTATTTTTGGTTATACAAAATTTTTACTATAAAAATATTTGCAGATCAATTCAACCTCTTAAAAATACTGGAATAAAATTTTTGTTTGAATGAAATAAATATGATGTAGAGGTAAAAAGTTTTTGGCATTCCTTCCAACAGAAAAAACAAGAGCCAAATTTTAAAACATGGTCACTTTGCTTCAAGATATACGTCTTGATCAAAATAATTTACTGGGTAATTTTTCTTCAATTTATGATGTTCTCGCTATATTTTATTCTTTTTCAGTTGTTTTCTCATTATTACAATGAAAAACAACCTATTTTCTCTTCCTATTTTTCCTTTCGTTTATAAATTTTTGTATGCGTAATATTTTCTTTTCCAACAATTCTTTATGCATATAAATAAGCATTTAGTTATTTTTAACTTTAGGGATACTAGTTAGGACGTCTTGTGGAGTGAGAAAAAAGGATTTGCCACCAAATTTTGTTCTCTAATCTCATGAATAACATTGCCTTTCTGTCAAAAAAAAAATAATTAATATATTAGAGTTGAAATATACTTATTGGGTGATATTATTAATATCAACATCAAATATTAAAATATGAAGTCTCTATCTCACTTGTTCCCTTTAAATGGTAAGCGTGGATGAAAAAATGGAAAATATAGAACTTTATTCCCTATAATTTTACCAATTTTAATTTTGATGTGGCAATAAATGCTATCATTATATATTAGCATAGTGCATAAAACTTTTTTTTATATATAAAATCATTTTATATGAGATTAATTCTTTAGTTCACGTTCATCCTATATACATTTGTTGAAGAGGTTTGGTACTAGTGCAGAGTGTCATAACTACACTTTTTTTCTTTTCACAAAGTTTGTTGGACATCATCACAATCAATTTTCTGATAACTGATCTACTAGTTATTACATTATGAATTCATGATTTTAGTTATTGCTAAGTTTACTAATGTGTTGGGATGCCTTCTCTTTAGGAGCATCTAAGTTCTTTTGTCTTCAAATTATGATTTTCTAACTAGAAACTTCTTTTTTTAGATTATTTTCTTAGCATTACTATGAACAAGATGCATTTTATTTTTCATTTTCACCTTTAGTTTTATTATAATTTTGTTTATTCGCAAAATTTCTTATGTCAATAATTCGTTATGCATAAAAATATTCTTTAGTTATTTTCTATTGTAGTGATGCTAGCTAGGGCATGCCTCTTCTAGTTTGGGGAGCCAATTTTCTAGAAGATTTTTTTTTTTTGAAAAAATACATTCATTTGTTGATTTATGGAATCTTTTTATTTGCTACAAACATCTTTATAATTTTAACATGGACTTCTTAAGATGAGTTGAAGCCAATGCCCTACAAGTTAATCCTTCAACTTGTTTACAAAATTTATGATTCTGATTCGTTTTATGGTATAGATATAAATTTATATAGGTGAATTTGTTGGAAGTTATGCTTTGCATAATTATTATATAGACCCTTATTAGACTTTCATATTGGAGATAATATCCGAAATGTGTGTGTGCATATATATATATATATATATATATTAGTGTTGAAGAACTGTAAGTGTCACATCATTATCATATATCATATTTGTTGAATTGAGATAAAAAGTTCTTTAGGCAAGACATAAAAGCAAGTTTAAGTTTACTACTTAACCCCGTGGTTTTTTGTTTGCGAAATAATGAATAATACCATCTTGAAAACTTCATTTTATATAAAATAGAAAAGAAGATGTGATTTGACCAAAAAAAATTCAATACGTGAATTTCAATGCCTATTTTCGTTCACAGTGTAGGATTTACATATTCCAAAATCCAATAATCAAAATCTATAAATACAAGTGATATATTTATAGTGACTATGAAAGTTATTATATATAAGATGAGTTACTTTTGACTATTACAACTTTGATCGTAATTGTGCCAACAACAATCTTGCGGTTTATTAGCTTTAGTTTCCATTTACACAGAACAAAATTGTTAAGATAGTTTTATTTGAAATAGAATTATAAAAAGATTGCAACTTCATAATTGGGGTCCAAGAGCATTATAACCTTTTCTCTTTTTATTTTGTAACTTCAGCTTTTTTAGTTAAAATATTA